GTCGACTATTAAATCAGTCGTCGACGATTTTGATAGTCGACGTAATTGTGACTAGTCGACTAATCGTGGCAGCCCTAGTTTCCAGTACACAAAGACAAAACTGACCATTACAGTCTTACAACATCCATTAAAGTGAGCACCTCCTGCATTCACTGAGGAATGGCATCTTAAAAAAAGAAAATGGGGCCATGCACATTATTACTGTGGTGAGCAATAAACAACGCAACACCAGCAACAGCAGAATTCTTATTGTCTTGTTTTCCATCTGTGGAATAAATGAGCAGGCAAGGAATTCAAGCTAAAGACTCCTTCAGTAGATCACAGAGTACAAACATTATATCAATAATATGCTGTTGGCCTCAACCAATCAAACACCTCTGCTATGACACACTGGGCAAAAAGATTAAATGGAAGAACGATGTGCATCCCTGCAGTTTCACACACTGTTGCAGTTCATGGCGAGCAGCTGTGGAACCGTAGTGTGGAGCGAAAAACACCCTGTTAAAACATTTATGTTGGTTTTCCTCTCATTTGTCACCAACTTGTATATTAGGTTGGTCACAAGTTAACAACACTAGATTCAGTGGATGGACCAACATAAAGTAACTCCTGCTTCGGCTTGTCTTACTGTTTGCTGTTTGCAAAGTTTTGTTTAAATAAGTTTAATTGTGATTACAAATATATATATATACACATACATATGTGGAGCTCTTCCACTATAAGAGTAAAACTGGTCTGAAATTATTGTGTTTTTTGGATCTTGCAAGGTGGTTCACTGTTACCACCTGACAGCCTTGTTTAAGTGACTGTTATAGAAAGCTTACTGCTTAGACACACACAGCAAATGGGCTTTTTGCTTCCTTGGTCTCATCATGTATGTCCCAGGTAAATAAAACTTTGGCAAGAAGCAGGCTTGGTGGCTTGGACTCACTCAATCTCTCTTACCTGACTCTCCACGACTAACCTAAAGGTGTGCGTTAGATATGCTGCATATTTTAACAACTGAGCTTTTAGCCAGAGTTCTGTCTGTTTTGGCCGTGCTGGAGACAGAGACACTTTGTAAACATGCAGCTGCAACCTGACATGAAGCTCAAGGCTGGCTCACTGCACCACATGCTAAATCAGGTCCTGGATTTAAGACTGTAGGAAATACATTTTCCGGACGTATTTTTTTAATATATTTATAATTTTTACACTTTGTAGAGGAGATGCTTGGAGAGGCTGTTGCTGTTTATTTTATTGTAACAAGAAATTTGTTGTTATTCACTTTAGCTGTCAGTGGTTTAAAAGTTTGTGGCATAATGCAGCAAAAAGACATAATTAGTGTTACAGATGGTCTTCAGGTTATTGTCCCCAGTTTAGAGACGTAATACCTTAATATTTTATGGATATTTTTTTAATCCCATAGTAGCTTTGATGCATTTGTTAAGGCAATTAAAATTAAGCTAAATTAATAAATTTAGTAAGTTAAAAAATTATACATCAAGTATAAATATTAAGTAATAAAAATGCACAACAAACCAAATAACATAATTTAAAATTGCTCAAATTAATTTTATTGATATTTCAAAGCATGAATTATGGTTGCTGTAACACCGAGCACGACTCTACTCAACCTTTAAAGTTGAATACAAGGATGTATTTGCAATAATAAATAAATAAATTATAGTATATTGGTAAATGTTTGGTGCATGGAATTATTTTGCAGTGCAATTTGAAAACAACTTCCAACCAACAACAAAGGTCACCAGGAGTTATCATAATAAACAGTCTAATAAAAAGGAAACGAAGCCGCTAAAAAAATCAGAACGTGTCCCAAAAAATAGTGTCATTCCATAAATGACTAAGGTAAGTTTGGATCTATTATCCTGACTCTGGGTCTGACTAGCTTAGGTGTGTGTTATAGTAAGAATGAAAATATGCTGCACTAACTTTACAGATTGACCAGTTAGCTTCCTCTTAATGGCAAAAGAAATGCTAAAAGCTTTTATCCCCGAATTATCCTCAGCCTCTCCAAACTGTGATTAATCACACTGCAGGAGCTGTCACATTTTTAATGAGGTGTGTTTTCGTACGTAGTACAGTTTGTCAGTGATGTTATCACCGCACACATTCTGCCTTCTCCTTTCCTCTGCGACTGTAACCGCCCTGTAACCAGCCCGTAGTCTTATAAGTTGGATCTAAGCCTTCAGAAGTGGGTCTGCACTCTGTCACCAGGCGACACACTGTAACCATACACTGGCCGTAAACACTGATGAGGCCAGGCAAGGAGGGAGGGGTGCACTCAGAGTGTAGGAGAAATGGAGGTTGAAGGGAGTAGCAGGGGTGGGGACAGTCGAGAGTGTATTAAGACGGAGGTTGGAGGTGTAAATTCTGGAGAGATGAGAGAAGTCAGGAATATGATTGAGGTGAGTTCCTGTGTCGTTGTGGGGATCCAAGACATTCCCATCGCTTCCAGTTGGATGAGGTTGGAGCTACATTGTATCACTGCTCCTTATTTGGAACAGCAGCCTCAGCACACACACAC